GAAGGGAAAAGACAGCACAGCAGCCGTAGCAACCCGAACTTCACATTAAAGGCAGGCCCAATAGGAAGCACACATCTTACCTCTCCTCTGCGAATATGGATGCTCCTTATAATTCGCTCTAAGAAGCCAATCTGCTGTGTGAGACGAAGACTATTTTCCTGTAATTGCTTATTTTCTTTATCCATGTAAAGTACCCTAAGAATGGCATAAATCAGTGGCATGATTAGAAATTTCTGTATCATTACTAAAAACCCAAAACTACATTCCCACTGGCTCTGGATCTTAGACCACTGTCCAGATTTTAGAAGCAAGTTTGACAGAATAATTCCCACCATATTCCAAGACCAAGTGTGATATTAATACTGAGTGTCAACTTAATTGGATTGAGGGATACAAAGTATTATTCTGGGTGTGTCTGTGAGGGTGTCACCAAAAGAGATTAACATTTGAGTCAGTGGGCTGGGAAAGGCAGATTCACCCATAATCTAATCAGCTTCCAGTGAATATAAAGCAGGCAGAAAGATGTGAAAAAGAGAGACAGGCCTCGCCTCCCAGTTTGCATCTTTCTCCCATGCTGGATGCCTCCCGCCCTCGAACACAGGACTCTGAGTTCTTCAGTTTAGGGACTCAGACTGGCTCTCCTTGCTCCTCAGCTTGCAGACAGCCTATTGTGGACCTTGTGATCATGTAAGTTAATACTTAATAAACTCCTCTTTATATATACACACACACACACACACACACACACACACAGTCTCCTTTACATATACATACATACATATATATACACACACACATATGGGAGTGTGTGTGTGTGTGTGTGTGTGTGTGTATATATATCTCCTGTTCTGTCCCTCTAAGAGAACCCTAATACACGAAGTAAAAGTTAATAAGATTTTGGGCTGTACATGGTTATTAAATACATGTACAAGAGTATTAATTCTAGCCCTTGAAAAATTTAAGGAAGGATATGATCCCATTTAGGGATGGGAATGAAACAAGAGAGGCTCTGTATCCCTTCAAATATTGTAGCTACATAGCTTGTATCTGGTTCTGTTCTCATACTGATCTGCTTCTGATTTCTTGTGAAGTAGAAATAGTAGTAGCAGTAGCAGCAACCATGTTTCAAGTACTTGCCATGTACTTTATGCAATGTAACCTACCCACACCATAAGCACTTAAAACTTTTCATGTATTAGCTCATTTAATATGCATAGCAACCTGATGAAATATAAACTGTTGTGACAAATCTGAGCCTCCGTTTCCTTATCTGTGAAATGACGAAATACTCCTTGGAAGAAACTTACTCTAAGGAAAACATTCAAGTTCAATCCAGGCGATTGTGTCATCAGTAGGGCAAGGTAGAAAGATTATTCATGTTAATGCAAAGGTAATGAGTTAATTGTGTTAGATCCTGACTGTCAGAAGCTATGACAGTTTGAGAAGAGCAGTGATTTATATAGGACATCTAAAAGGGAGACACAGAGAGTAAAAGATCATCAGAGATTCTCCAAGCCTGCCCAGAGATGTGTGCCCAAAGGAGTGGACAAGAACATTCCAGTCTGCTTGGCAGTCCTCTCCCCAGATTATGGTGCTATGGTCTAGGGCCAGGCTGCTGAGGTCCACATGCTGCTCTGTCATTGACTGGGCTGGGTGAGTTCCCTCACCTCTCTAGACCTTGGCTTCCTATCTGTAAAATAAGGCTAATAGTGCCTCTCTTCTGGGATTGGTGTTAGGATTAAATGAATGAGAGAGCTAGCATATAGTAATTGCTCAGACAAATCTTAATCATTCCAATTATTATTGGTGACATTATTTGTTAACATCAACCCACTCTCTTTGATTATAATTAAAGTCTCCTATGAAGAAGGGAATGCTCAGGCTGGCTGAAATGTAACTTATTTTCTGCTTATAATATTTCTCATTAAAAATTAATACACTGGTATCCTGTGGATTTCATGAATTTAAGTTACTTCTGTGAGCCTAATTCTCTCTTATTCTACCTTGATTCCATAGGTATTGAATAATAAAAATGTGGATCAACACACACAAAATGACAGGCCGGAATGCACACAGCCAAGTCCTCAGTGAGGCAATGACATTATGAAACAGCCTATCTAAATAGCCAACCAGCCTCCTCCATTATATTTTTCTCTTTGATTTAACAATTTCTGCCACTTGTATGATCTGCTGAAAACAGCAGACAGCAGAGCGAGAGTTATAGGGTAGGTTACAAACTCAAAGGACAGCCTCTAGAACCATCTCTTTGTTGAGGGAGAAACATCCTGTTGTGGAGTTCATTGGCTCCAGGCAGGATGGCACCTACCTGCTCTGGATGGAAGATATCGTCCATTTGTTGCTGTGGATCAACTGTTCTTGCTCTATGACTTGCTCCTGAAGTTTTCTTTTTTCTAGAAGCAGGGTATCATTTTGGGCAGTGATCTGGTCCTGTATTGCCTTCTCCTAGGGATTAGAAAGTCTCCTAATTACCACAGCAGGAGAATGATAAATTTAAGAGCATAAGCCTGTTTCTA